TTTTTTTTTTTTTTTTTTTTTTCTTTTGTACAATTTAAAAAACAATGCCGGTCTTATGCCCGTTTTCGGCTAGCTGTGAAGCGTTTCTCCTCGTCATTTGTAAATACGTCATCGCGTTCACCGTGTACATACATAAATATAATACGCAAAATAGCTCATGAATCGAATCAACTAGCACCGAAGCAAACGCGAACAGCGTCGCATAAAATAATAATAATAATAATAATAATAATAATAATTGATCGAAATTTTCATCGTGTCTAATCACAGGCGATCGATAAGATGCGTAAAATAATTTTCGTCGCTCTGTAAATGAATTCCGCCCTTTCGTCGATCGAACGAAAGTGAAATTATTGCGTATATCGATCCAGCACGAAACACGAAACGCTGTCGCCTTAATTAGAAACAATGAAAATTGAACAGAGCCCTCGTACCACGGATACTTGGACGGATAAGGCTGTTTCCACTTCGACTTTTCCGGCTGTATTCTATAATTTTATGCTTCGTCGAGACTGATGATTATATATAATCTTTTAATAGAGTGAAACGAGTTAATTAGTCGCTTGAATTTGCTATTTCGTCGCGTCAAAAACAATCCTTTCTCCGACTTTCTTATTTTTCCAAAAGAGAAAAATATTTATATTATCGTTAGTTTTTCCTCAATAAAATTAATGGGTAATAAAATGTGTATTGTCACATAATATTATGTATATTTACAATATTTGGATATATTGTAAATATCATATCTTTAATTATATTGCTGAAAAACTATCCTGTGTAATAGAAATGAAAAATATCGTGAAATCTTTTGAACGAGGATTGTTTTTATCGCGAACAATTTCTTCACTTCTTCTATAATAAATGTCGTATATAATTTCCATCAAGATTGAATTATTCCATTTTTATATATTTTTAAATATCAAAATCGATCCAATTAAAATGAATAATTCTAGAACAATTTTTATTTTCATTATTATAGAAGAATTTGAAGAATAGCCCGTTAACAGGTTAAATTCTTCAATTGACAAACAATATCGAATCGTTTTCACTGTGTAAATTTAAATCTCAACTTTTTAAAGTAGAAGTAATCTTTTCCTTCTTTTTTTAATCATGATTCCCGCAACAGCAATTGTCAAAAATTCTTCTAAAATTTTATCGCCAACTTTTACGCTTCGACTTGTTTGTTTTAACCTTTTAACAGCCTTTTTGCACATTTCGTCGAAGATTCGATCCACGGATTGATTTCCAATGAATCGTGTGTGTTGGTCTCGTCGAACAATAAAAATTGGGATGCAAGTGCGAGAGAAACGAGGGGGAGAAAAACGAAAGAAAAGAAAAGAAAGAAAGAGAACTTATTTACCATAACTCTTTCTGAAAGATAAGAGGAAACGCCACGATTTCGTCCAAGTTTCGCAACGCGGTCCGATTCTCGATTTAATTAATTAATAAAAGCCTAGGGGGACGAAAGGAGAGATGGAAAATCTCGGGGAGAGAAACGAAGGGAGAATGTACGAGTGGGAAAATGTGTATGCGTGTGGTAGAAACGAGTGAAAAAAAAAAAAAAAAAATTGGAATGAGTGCGAAATCGAGCGAAAATTAATGTTTCCTATTAAATCAGAGAGAAGAAAAAAGAAAAAGAAAAAGAAAAAATACAGATAACACTGTAGAAATGTTTACTTAACAAGATTTGTAAATAATTGTAGCTCACTGTAGCTGGTCAGTTGGGCATTTAACGATATAACACAACCTCGGGATAAAGGAAGAACGAGGCGACAATGAAGTAGCAAACGAAGAAGAAAAAAAGAAGAAGAAGAATATAAAGAAAAATTTCAAAAAATTGAGAACACGCGACAGAGAGAATTATGGATATCGAGCACACTCTCTTCGTGTTGTTGCACACGCGTATATGTACACACATAGACGTACATACATATATACATAAGAAGGAACATATTTTNTTTTTTTTTTTTTTTTTTTTTTTTTTTTTTTTTGGAAAATTGATCACACTTGAAACGTGTGCATTTTGTTGGTTCTCGTGTAAATTGGGAACCCGTGGAATATAAAAAAAAAAAAAAAAGAAATAATAACTGGAGGCTAGGTGATAAATGCATAAGTCGTAAGGTACCTATGTTATTAGATAATGACTAATTAAGCGACAAAAAAGAAAATCCACGTATACTCCTCACTAGCGAATATGCCTTCATTATGGAAAGTGGCTGGCGCGTGATGCACCAATAAAGTTGCTACGGATTTAAAAGAAAAAAAAAAAAAAGATTTAAAAAAAAACAAGGAAAAGAAGACGTTTGCAAACGGTGGTTCTCTTGTCTCCGATTTGGCACGTCGACTTTTTTTTTTTTTTTTAATTATTATTCATCTCCTTCACCATTTTTTTTTTCTCTTCGTCTATTTTTTTTTATATTTTCAGTTCTACCTTCCAAGCACTGACTACTACTCTGCAACGTTTCTTTCACAGGTTTTTAATGCGCACTGTTTCTTTCACGTTTCCTTCGACACAGCAATCACCGCATTGAGTTCAATTCAGCTTTGCTTTTAATCACCTTTCGTCTCTACTACGAGGAGGAGAGACAGAGCCAGTCGATAATACCAATAATTCCATTTCGAGAATGTTGTACCAAATACTGCCAAGAATCCTGTCTGTTATCTAATCCCGCGATGACAGTGAGCCACATGTAGTAGAGAAATTTAGGACGAATTAAGATAGGGATTAGACTGTACTTAAGACACCTTTTATAGTTCCTTCTAAAAGACTTGGTCAGGTTACTCAAGATCACTATGAAGAGGGAGTCCTAAATCTCCTAAAAGAAAAAGAAAAAGAAAAAACAATTTAGTATAATTTTAAGATGAAACTTGTAAAGTTTAAATCATGCCCAATAATTTGCACACATAACATAACTCGTTACACTTTTTGAAATACCATTACATACCATATTTCAGAGGGCGCTCTTCTCTAATATCCTAAAAGAAAAAAAAGAAAAATAGGAATACATATGTAAACGAGCACATAAGTAGAACTGACTAAAATTAATCGTATACTTACTTAAACAATCGACTGGTGTATCTCTCCGCGATCCTTCCGATTGATCCACACGCACATGCATCAGATTTCTGTGCAAGCCAAGCGACGAGGCAAGAGGAGACGCAGGTTTCTCGTCCTTTCTCGCAGACAAATTTCGGGCAAAAATCGTCTTTTGCCCCCCTCCCCCAGATACGAGTATTATATACATAAAGCCAAGCACTTTTCGAATTTCGCGTGTACATACGTTGGAATACAATTTTTTTTTTCTCCTTTTTTTTTAACGAAGAAAGGAAGTTTCTGATGGAAGAGAAGCGGGAAGTAATTCTGTCGCCATCTTCGTATCGTCGTAGCGTCGTAGCTCGGAGGATGAAAACGTGACGACCTGTCGTTAGTAACTAAGAGGCCTTAATATATTGCGTTTACGATATAAACACGCGTATAAACACACATACACACACTCTCATAATACACACATAAGTCGATTCAACTTAAATATAAACACGAGATTAGAATAGTCGGGAACACAAAGGTACACATTGGAAATATTAAATTGCGAGTAATCGACAAGTACAGGGCACGATTTACGAAAACGAAATAATTCAAATAATTTAGAGAAAATCTCTGGAGAACCCTGCGACTGCGAGATGTAGATTTATACAAATAAAATAAAAGGTAATATTTGAATTTTCACGTAGAATCATTTTAAAATATAGGCACGGTGGTAACACGTTTTTCCTCGTTACAGAATCGTTTTAGAGGAATAAACTCGTGCGTTAAGACGAAGACTTTAAAAAAAAAAAAAAAAAAAAAAATAGATACCTTAATAAAAATGTACAGATCGAATGCACTTGATTCATAGTCGCTTGATTCCATCGATGTATTCCAGCACAGTATTTCCATCCAAGTGTGAACAATATTCGAAGTTTTAGAACGAGTACCTTGCGCAATTTAAGGATGGAGAAAGGAAAAAGAGAGAAGCGTGGGCAGTCGTGGGGGTCCTAGAAAACGATTTTAAACGCGGATCGCCTCGTTTCGTTCTGCGTTGGAATAATGCGTTAAAACAGGTCGAGGAAGAAGAAATCGTTACATAGATGCAAATGTTGCGGATCGTTTATGACAGACAGTAAAACACAAATGGAAATTTGCGTAATTGTTTCGTGGTTGTACGTGATCTCTTGGCGACTTTGCGCATTTAACGACGAGGAGCAAGCAAAACGAGGGGAAGGAAAAAGAACAGATCGAGAAGATCTGGAGCGAAGTCTTCGATTTCGCATTTGTGAGATAGAAGAAGGGAAGCAATTTCCGAGTGTTCGATTAATTTGTGTATTTGGGAAATTTCGAAGTTTTTCGAAATTCTTTTTTTTTTTTTTTTTTTCATCAATCGATGAAACGAGATGTTTGTAACGATTGTTTTTTCCATCATACGTGATTCGTTCGCGACTCTGCACGTTTGGAAAAAAGAATAAGTTAAAGATAAACACTTTTGTTCCATTTTTAAAGGAACGATATTCAATTTTTGAATACTTAAAGTATTACATTTAAGGAAAGTTTCGATTTCACTTGAAAATTATTTTTAAGAAAAAAGGATTTTCATCTCGAAATGAATTTCGTCCCATTTTCGAAATATTCTAAGAAAGAGGGATTATATATAGTTGAAGAAACTCGAAGATTGACGAAGATAAAAAAAAAAAAGAAAGCGAAACGAGAAGAATGGAACGAGGCGAACCCATTTTGTAGAGAAGAGAAACCAGTTTTCCAGACGCACGTTTGTTCTAATGCAGAATAGAAGGTAAAAATCATTCGCACGTGCCACATTTACAGCGTATCTCATTCTAAAGAGGATTCTACCGATCGTAGTTCTTCCCTGGAGTTACAGTTTTCGCATCAGCACTGCCAATATACCATTGTTAAATTAAAGAAATCGCCATCGACCCCATCGCTTTGTTCGCGTTGTTCAATTCCGGTCTCGTTCTAGATTTTTAAGACGTTGGAGGAATTTTTTTTAGATAGTTAGAACTTTGAACTTTAAACTTTTCCATTTCCATTTTTTTATTAGAATTTACGAGATGAAGCAAGCATCTTTTCTTTCATTATAAGTGTCCCATTATTAGGGACTTAAGTATATATTTAAGCCCTAATTGTATAATCTAGTTGTTTTTAAAGGAAATTACATTACATTCTTCGTGATTTGAAGGAAACGTGCAATTTTATTAGACGATGAACGTCTTCTTGTGTCCGTTGAAAATTATTTCATTCACTTATGGATGCAAAATTTATTGATATCGAGTGTAATTAATATGAACGAATGCAAAAAAGTAAATGGAAAAATTTATGTATTGGCAGTAAATATTTACAGATACAATATTATCAACAATATTATCGGTTGAATTACTTACTTAGTGATATAAGATATTTAGGTGTTCAAAATAATGAGAACAGACGTTGTATAGATTGATTCGTTCGAATAAATAATTCGAAAAATTCGTCCAACGTCTCCGATAGTCTCGAATTCCGTAGCAAGAATGGCAGGGCAGGGAAAAATGCAATTTTCGAAATGAAAAATAGTTCGTCACGTGCGTGTAATATCTGTAAAAAAGAAAAAAAAAAAAATGAAAATGGCGACCGTCGAGGGGAGTGACTCGACGGCGAGCACACTGTTAGCACTCGTAAGCGTGTAAATATTAGCGTGTAACCTCGAGAATTCGCGTACCTTGAAAGTAGCCCGAAGCCTTTTCACATTTAGCGATTAAAACGAAACGAAAGAGAATAAGAAGAAGAAGAAAATTTCGATGTTCCCTCGATAAGAAAGGGTGTACATCGAAGAAAGAGAAAAAGATGAACGAGATGGGAGGGAAAAAAAAAAAAAAATAGGCAGGCACAAACAGTAAAAGACCTCAAAAAAACCGTGTTGTTGTACATAGTAGTGTAGAGTTCGATCTAAGATTTAAAGAAAAAAAAAAAAACGTTAAGGTTCTAAGGTTTTAATCGTGTAGGGTATGTACTTAAGAAGAAGAAGAAGAAGAAAAAAAAAAAGATTATTCGAAGACGAGCATTTTTTCGATGGGCGGACACGTATTTTTTAGAATTAGCAACCGTGTGAATGTTGAGACGAATTGTACAAGTTCAACCTTTGCGTGCGCGTTTTCCAATCTAAAATCTATTTCTTTCCCTCCGATCCCTCCCTTTCTTTCTTTTCTTTCCTTTTTTTTTTTTTTTTTCTATTTCTCCAATTTTTCCCACGCTATAATCTTCCATTCTCGAGCTAGGCTGTAAGATAAACGAAAAAAAAAAAAAATCGCTACACTTTCGAAAAACTCTTGACATACCCGTTATATCGAGAGCTCGCCCGTCACGATTTTCCTTTCGTCGTGAAAAAACGTTCATTTTTCGAGGCGGACGCGGCTCGTTTTTACTCTCTTTTCTCTCTATACACGTACGTATATATACGTATAAATATATATATATTAATTAATAAAGGACAAAAAAATGAAAAAAATAGCTGGTACTTTAGGAACTAGGGCTCAACGATCCGGCACTTCTCGATTTAGAAAGACGATTTAGCCTCTTCGAACGCATCGCGCGAGGATATATTTTTTTGTAACTAACGAAAAATATCTCGACGGCATGGTTTTACTCGCAGAACTCGCTGTTGAACAAACTTCTCTCTAGTATCTTTCTCGCGTTCGTTCATCGAATACGATCGTACTAGACTCCGATAATATAAATATTATTACATTTTTCCTCGTGGAAAAGAAAAGAAAAAAAAAAAAAAATAAAACAAGATGTCTTTCGCTCTCGAAACAAAACGCCTCTCGAATTTTTCTTCGACGTTCACCGGGACGATCTATGTTTCTAGATGATATATATACAAAGTAAAGTGTGCTAACGATAAAATTCAGAGAGAGAGAGGGAGAGAGAGAGGGAGAGAGAGAGAGAGAGAGAGAGAGAGAAAGAGAGAGAGAAAGAGAATAAAAAATGAAAGAGAAAAAGTGCGAGTGCTCGATCGTTGATCGATTTATGATCGTCTATTTAATGTTTTGCGTGTCCCTTGTTCTTGGTGTCTTGTACTTGTAAATATATAACTCGGCCGATTGGAGTCCTCGACGTTCTCGGCGATGAAACATCGATGATATATGATAAAAGAAGAAAGAGAAAATTCCTCTGTGATAGCTTTAAAAATAGAATGATACGTTTCGAAAAATTCGAAACTTTCGAAAATTTATTACTCGAATTTATTATTCTTCGAAACACTTAGATTATAATAATTTTTCACAAGTAGTCGATCATCGAAATTTATTACCGTCGAATAATAATACATACGTCGGGACTCCTCGAGGGCGGTTCCCAAATGGAGTGAAATCCGGAAATCCGCGTGGAGAACCGGCCTTGACAGGCGAATCTTGACCTCTTCGTGGACTCGTGCGTTTAATTAATCCCCAATTAAGGCCGTCACGGCTTCTGTAAATATATGTAAGGGTGAAACTTTGTCGGCGATACGTGTACGTAAAGCGATAAGAGCTGTGTGAAAACTCTTTTAGAAACTTTATGGAAACTTTCGTATGTACAGGGTGTTTCATTTATTTGCCACCACGTGTGTGAATATTTCGTTATTATTAACGCGGCAAGAGCACAAGTCGTTTCGAAAGAGAAATTATTTATATTTGCAGAGACACGAGATTCTCTCTTGAATTGACGTTAATAAGAGGAAATCTTTAATTGGAGCAAGGGGGTGAGGAGTGAAAATGAATGGAACGATTTGTGCATGCACGAACATTCTACGGATATGTATATGTATGAAATTCTTTCGTGTCGATGCTATTACACACGTAGGATCGTTTCTATTAGCGGGTATATATGTATACTTTTTTTTAGAGGCGAATGGACGGTCGTCGTTCGATTGACGAACAGCGATCATCCATTCGTGCTCCAACCACTCTAAATTCACGGCCAAAATAATGTTTAGGGATGCTCGTATGCCTTCTACACATACACCTGAACACACACTTACACTTGTAAGATTTATACACTCTCTGGGTGCGGGGTGTCGATCGAATGGGCGCAACCCCTTCACCGTGAAAAAAAGAGATAAATAAAGAAAGATATAAGAAAAATTCATACACCTGTATGTAAATTGGAAATCCAGGATAAGATGTTTGAAAAATTTCCGATCGTATCTATTCTCTCATTTTTCTAAATAAAAAAATAATAATAATAATTAAGATTTCTTATCTTCTCAAAAAAATTAAATTAATTGATTATAAAATTTACAGATTTGTCGAAGAATTACCTGTATGGAGTTTCGATCAATCGATCCCACATCCCGTGCACACATCATTAATTGTACGTTTTCTCTTTCTCTTCCTAGCAACTTCCTCGAACCTTTCATCGATCACAGTGGAAATCGTTCGAGAGCTCGGTGCAGAGATCATAAGGAGATCGTCGATCGTATCCTCGATTCTGTATCTATTGAAAGTGTCCGCCGTGTGATAAAGGCGGGCTACCTGTAATATATTATTATTATTATTATCTCGCAACGATAGGAGGCAAGAGTTGATATTTGTAGGTTAAAACAGAAAAAAGAAAAAAAAATAGGGGAACGAAGTAGAAAAGGCTGATCTCCGCCGTGTAATTTTTGTATTTTCGGGTAAGCGAGGCCGGCCGAGGATTTAATAATATATGGTAATTGTAAAACAGTACAACTTGCATCGCGTTTATTAATACGATTAGTAATAGCGATTACGAATAACACTTGTAACATAAGAGGAAAGCGGATGGAGAAATATGGTTCGTCGGCGATTTCCTGATGAACTCTCTGATTCTCAAAAAGAGAGATTTAAGAGAGATATTTTTGAAAAAAACTTTTCTCGGAAGATATTTTGCACGAAATTTCGAATACGGGTGGAAGAGAAGAAATTTTTCACGATAAGAATTCTCTGATTAAATAGAGAAGGAATAAAATTTTAAGGAATCGACACGAGTCGTTTCTTCGATCGAGAATTTCCACGTGAATCGTTGATGATAAAAGTTCGAGGTTGCTTTCTTCGAAAATATATTCTTAGAAAACACGTGATAAGACTCAAGACCATCACGATGGCGATGTACTCAGATGTAAATAGAAACTGTAAGTAATTTAAACAAAAAAAAAAAAAGAACACAACCATTAAGTAACATTACGTGTCTACGATGCCTATATCTGTTTAATCTACGTAACGAGATGGAAGCAATTAATTATTGCTGATCACTATTAAACTAATAACTAAACAGCAGTTTATTCTATCTGTGTGTGTCGGTTTCGATTGGACATAGATTTTGTATCACCCTTTTCTCCGTGTATGATGTGTAGCCAGAAGGTCGATTTCGAAGAGAACGGAATAATTTTTTCTTTTAATATAGCTAAATTATATAAATTATATAATAAATAGACTTATGAATATATGAATGAAATAAAAATTTTATGTTATCTATGATTATAACTTACTCACGTTAATAAAATAAATTATTTTTATTCATATATCCTTAAAATGAAAATAAAATTTTACGATACATAAAATTTTTTGAAATTTTCGTAACCGTCGTAAGATGATCGATACTGGACTATTGGCTGTCGAAACGTGAAAAATCTAAGAAATCTAAGAAATCGACCTTTTAAATTGTAGATTCAATCGTGTCTTTCACAATTAAGTAGTGTTTGTAAATCGATTTGCGATAGACGAAGTCGCGTTTATTCGAAACTAGCTCGTAATTTAAAACGTAAATTAAAACTGTAAGGAGCCGACCATAACGGTATAATGTCGATACTGTCACATCGATCCTTTACAAGGATCGAAAAGAGGAATTCGCGCAGGCTATTCGATGTACGCTTTCGATCTTGATCGCAGTCGATATATTTCGATTTATCGTGCACATGTCGTAGATATGTCTACGCACTGGGTGCTTGGAGACCAGTTTTGAAAAATTTCAGACACAAAATTGCAAAATTCAAAGGAGCATTTTTTGAAAAAAGGCATTTAAAACAATTCTCTTGATCAAAATATCAAAATAGCCAACCAGAATGAAACTTTTTATTCGTTTAAAGTAAATTCTTACATTTTTATTGAGTGTAAAAAATTTAATAACGATTATTTTTTGGAATATACGAGCAAATTTTGTCTTAATACATCGATTAATTGATTAAAATTTAACGAATTTTCGAATGTGCATAATTTTTATAACTTTTCTTTGTTGGAAATTGCTTTTAAAGCAATTTATCGAATAAAAGATATTCTAATTATATATAATAATTCATAATTATGGATGTAAAACATTTAATTTATGATTATAGAATATGATTTATAGAAAATTTATTTCTTTTAATGTGTAATGCAGTTGATAACAACAACAGAATATTAGTCTATCTTTAAAATATGACATTTGCATCAATCTAACAATTATACTTATTATAATTAGAAAAAATAATTAATAATGGTTCAATATTAATTATTGTACAAATATATAAATATATACAATATATAAATTTCTATAAAGCCTTTTTTCAAAAAGCTTCTCAATCACCTTTTATTTTCTTAAAATTTTTAATCTTGTTACTAAATGCTTTATCAACGAATTTTCACTCAAAATTACGTATGCAAAATCTAGTTAAATTAAAAAATTTTGATTTAATATTCGAAAATATTTCTAAAATTACCTTTCTAGAGAAAAACAATCACGAAATTGGTCTTGAGCCCTTATTTTTTCTGTTAACTAGCTGTAAAAACTTGATAAATTATGGCAGTGTCGAGAATCTTTGACGAAGAATCGAATGCGAATTGAAGGATTTATCTTTCCATTCTTCTTCTCCCTTTGGATTCTTCGTAGAAAAGAACGATCAATTGATACTTTTCGATATATGCACATTTATCGTTGTAGAGAGTGAAACTTCACGGAAAAAAAAATAAATAAAAATCGTAGTCGATTCCAGCCTTTCTAATTCCAAATGCGTCGTGCTCGATAATTTTCGACTAAACAATCAAATACAAATGGAAAACTGCGAATCAAAAAAAGAAAAAAAATAAATCAGCACGAAAATTACACGGGTGAACAAATGTAAAGAACACGTGCATGAATATACGCAACACATACGTACACACAAAAATATTCAGAAAAAAATTAAGATTAATAAGCGAGACGATTAAACTTTCCAGATGAAATTTCTCGATTGCTCGATAATTTGCATTCACACGTCGTATAATTTCTCACGAAAACATAAGAACGATTGTGTAAATTAAGTTTGTAAGGTTATCTTCGACTGGTAGCGTAAGAAACGATCGAATGCTGCGAGAAATCGAATCCGTTTCTCTTTCGAGAAATCACCGTCGATTGATTATCGATTAGCTGATTCGATTTTAATTTTACTTCAGATGATTAATCTAATTCTTATAAAGAGAAAATAAAAAAGATAAAAGTATAAAAAATTATTAAAGATATTTTGATTTCTCGTTGCATACGATTAAAAAAAAGGATTCTAGTTTGTACGCATAATAAAATAGCAACAGCAACAACCGTTTTGTATAGTGCGAGCACTGTTTTCGAATACGAAAGTTTAATCGAAATCATTTCGAAAATTCGACGTTAGCTTTCGATGATGATCGACAAAGCGAACGACGAATTCTAAGAACGAAATAAAGAGAATAAAAAAACAAGGAAAAAACTTAGAAAAAAGGAAAAAAAATACCAGAGCATTGAAGACTGGCAATCAAAACTAACGTAGGCAGATTTATTCTGGTGTCTAGCACGATCATAGCAGCGACCTTGTCAGCATGCAACTGACTCGAATACAAGAATTATTTTCGATATGTATCATGTAGATGATAGAAAACGAAGGAAGTTGATTCGTTTGTTTTATCTAAATTATTTATTCTTGAATATAATTTATTAAAAAAAAAAGAAAAAAATTGAAAAATATTGTTAAAATGTTACGATTATAAATTTGATGAAGAAAGAATTTAATGAAATTTTGATGATATAATATGATAATATATAAAATAATTTTGTTGAAACGAAAATGGTTAGTTGATTTGGTATGCAGCGATGATAGTGCTAAACAAGAACAGATCGGCGAAGGGAACTAAATGCAATTTTATGCAACTCTCCTTCAAAGAAAAAAATAAAAAGAAATAGATCGTACAGTTTTGCGAGTAAAATGCGCGTCTAATGTAACGCTAGTGAGTAGATAGGTAGGTACCTGCATTTCATGAAATTTAACATGCTTGAATAGCTCCTCAATAAATCGTTATACATGTTTTGATAAATCGTTGTTATTTTATTTTATTATAAACCTTTGAACGAAATTAACCACATTTATAAAATATAAAAGAATATCAACACAATTAATTTGAAAAGCATTAAATTAAAAAATATAACGTTTCTTTCTTTTTTTAAAAAAAATATATTTATATTGAATATTTATTTGAATATTGGTAATGATCTGCAATATTAATTGGTAATCAATATTAATATTAAAATCAATATTAGATTTAATTTCCTTTCTTTAAAATCTAGTTGAAATATCTAATTAATGTCACTTTAAAAGACTTATTTTGACTTTATTGCATTTATTTATCAATAACATAAATTATTTTTACTATTTATCATACAAAATTCCATATCTTCTTATAAATATATTATATAAATATTATATAAATTAAGTATATTTTATAAATATATTATTTTAAACATTATGCATTATATATTATTTATACATTATTTATACAGATATTTACATATTATTTTAAATATTATTTTATTAAAATATAATTAAAATATTATTTTAAATTAAGAAAAAAAATTAAATACTACTTATTGTTTTCATTATCATATCAATTGATTTTTTAATCATACATATAAATTTTTATATGTATTAATTCATGAGACTTATTCATTACTGGCTATAATTTATCCCATTCTCATTTTTCTATTAAAACATATATATTTATATATATGTAATAAAAAAAATTCATTAAAAGAATATTTATTAGAAAAAAAAATCAAAAATAAAAAATCCATGAATCATCAAGTTTAAGACTTATATCGAAATCAAAGTTCATTTTCCTTGGACCTTGCACCAGTCATCCAAGAATTTTTTCTTGATGAAGAACATCTCGAAAGCAAGCAATCGAAGATTTTGCAAGTGGCGAGTAATCGTTATTGGCAGTTGAGATAAATGGCAGTCATTTTATGGAGAAATTACAGCCAGGGAGATTCTAATCAGTCTGTCGGATGCCATAAGTTACACTGTTAAGGAATTACGGATCATAGCCGAAATAATAAGTTCTAATGAAAATGCTGATTAATGATAAAGGGAAGAGGATCTTAGATTACACGTGGGTAGTCTTTTGATCTTTTTCTCTTTGTAGTTGATATTACAAATTGAACATCAACATAGTTTCTTTTCAATCTTCGAATTTGTACATTGTCTGATCTTGTTGATTGAAAATGATTAAGAGAAGAAGAGAGTAAACTCAACTTAACAAGATCTTTAAACTAATAGTTTAAGATAAATTTCCATATACGTAATCCTCGACATACTTAATACCTGAAATTAAAAATCATTTAATATTTTTAATATTTACGTTACATACGCTTTTTTACATACAAGAAAAAATTTTAAATCATTTTTTTTTAATTAGGCATATTTAAATTATAAATAATAAAATAAATAATAAAAACAAAAAAATGAAATATCAATTTTAATTAATTAAATAATTGAAGTAATTATACTATCTAGATTATTCTATATCTGTATCTACATATAAAATATATTTATTCTTTTTAAGTACAAAAATGTTATTATACTGATTATAAAAATATAAAAACAATTCATGTTCAGTATGAAATAATTTAAAAAAAAATACCTGTTACTTGGACTTCAGAGAACTCTGAATGATTCTTTGCAATTGAATTTTCAAGATGATATTCAAAATAATTTAATACATATACAGGTACAAAAATTATTTCCATTCCACATCAAATATTCAAAGACTTTAACCAACTCCAACTCCCACCTAGAACAAAAAATAATTCAAACTTAAAATTCAATCCCATTGATTCAAATTTAAAATTTCAATTCTGTGATCACGTTTCCCTCATTCTAACGATTCTCTTTTTTTTAAAAAGAATACCGTTTCGAAATTGCGACGTGCCATAACCGAAACCGGAAACCAGGTGCGCACACAATACTGGTTGGCCCTATGGTACCAGTTCGAAATGAACGTGGCCCGCGTACCGACGACAACATCGACAATCACGATGATGTAAGCAATGTTTACAGGCGGCATACGATAAGAAACTATGCTCACGACGCGCGAAAAGGTGAGTCCCGAACTCGCCTTTTTCTTCAGTCTTCTTCTGCCTCTCTTTCGATTACGTGCTCACCGATTTTTAAGCCTCGAGCAACCATCAGATTGCGTGTAACACAGCTTTAATCTCACACTTTCATCGAAACCTACTCGCCCGTTGCTAACTATAGAAACGAATATCGTATGGAAAATATTATCGACTGCTTGTTAAGTGCGCCAACGCGATAACGAGCGGCTAGTTAGTCGTTTTATTCCTTCCAGTCAAGGAGACTGATGAGCGGCAGTTGATTGTAATACCTCCAAAATATGGCGAAAATTATGAGAATAACGAATAATATAATACAGTAATAGATATTGTGATATAATCAAAATGGTGAGAAAAATGGTGAGAATGATAAATAAATAATCGAACATAATATTTTTAAACGTTTGTGATAAAAAAGTATATAATATTCAAATGATAAAAATGCAACACGAACGGAATGATGTCAGCGATTCGTAGCTCGAGTGAAATTCAGTCTCTTCAGTACGAAGACGAGATTCATTATGTCACAGTATCACATGAAAATTTCATCGATTCATCACGATATTCGTTCACATCGTTTCAATAATAGCGAAAAGTGGCTCGAAAGATAGGTAAAGAGATACATTTTTTTGTTTCGACCGGTCTATTTCAGTATTTCGTGGAAAGATGACTCGGTTTGTTTATTGATTGTTCAGATTATTCCTCGTCCATCCTTAGCTTTGACGACATTAGTTTTCACGCGACCTATCAGTCCATTGACAAAACAAGTTTCCGCGGGACTCGTGTGCTGACGCAAGTCACTGTTTACGATCAACACGTGCTGCACAAGAATGAAGTGCACGGAGTTTGCTAGTTATGTGTCGAGTGCCTCGCGATCCTCGCGTTCGTTCTTGCATACTTTGGCATTTCAAGAGCGCGAAATTCTTCGTTTAATTATCGAATACCTCTAAGAATTTCGTATTCGTCGATTTAATCGTCGGTGGTTACATTCCTGAAGAGCGATTCGACGTGACTTATTAATGAAAAATTGAAAATTCCTCGTGTATTTAAAATTTTCACTTTCAAAGTGTGTTATCGTTTTAAAATTCTACAAGTGTGTTACCGTTTTAAAATTCTGAAAGAAGGAATTCCATCTTCATCGATTAATCGCAAGATAAATTCCCAAAAGAGCAACTCGACGTGTTTTGTTAATTAGAAATTAAAATCCATCGATTTTTATTCCAGAATATATTAGTTTAAAATTCAAAAAAAAAAAAGAAGGAAAGAAAATCGAGCATGAAGGTGGAGAACGTTACGGTTGACGAAGAGGAACGGTACCGGAAAGGCAAATCACGATGGACACGATGGATCATTGTTTTCTCGAGGCTCGATAAACTGCGCGCACTATCGTGAAGCGGCAGTGAAACGCTGACGACAGTGATGTAACGGTGGAAAATAAAGCGGTGACTCGCGTGGATATTGGTACCGTGTGCTGGCGCACGCGTAAACACGTGCGAGCGGACCCCGGTTACTTTCCTCGAAATTCGATGGCAGTTTTTGAAACACGCCGAACCGGTGATCAAGTCTTTCTCTCTCGCGATCGAGCCACGTCGATTTTTTAATCCTTTCGTTACGAAACGCGTATATAAACGTCGAGCAATCGTTCGGTATAGCTGTACGTATAACATGAAATTATTTTTCTTTTCGTTTGAATTACATGATAATTAACCCTCGGTTGATTTGTAATTGGATCGTTCGAGAAGAGAGCTCTGAATGAAAAAGAAAAATCCATCTTGGAAATAGAATTATATTAAAAATTCGATTATCGATATTCTATATATATATATATATATATTTTACATTTTTGTAATTGTTTATGATTTATTTTATTTTATATATGTAACTTTTGAATGATATGATTCTGTAATTTTCTTCAAATATGTATAATTTAATAAAGTAATGATAAATGTAGGAGGCGGCTAGAAATGACTTAGTCATCGCCGTCTATGGTCCGCCATCCGAGGTTTAAATATATGAAATACTCGAATCTTCATGCGCATATTTTCTCAGTACTAAACAGAATTGTAATTCACTTGCAACATCAAAGAGCTCCAATTTCGAGAAGATCGTAATACAAAATTTTATAGTCAAATCAATCCTCTTTTTTTCTATTAATATCGTAAATTTTCTTTGTATTATCAAAAATCTAAGTGATCGTGAAATTATCTTCTATTCTTGTGAACTTATCGTTAAAAACTTTATAGCAAAGTGGAACGATTGAAACGATCGAAATGGCTCGGATCGCAACGTCGATGATCCGTCGAGACGATATTAAAAAAAATTCTTACGGAGCACGTCAGATTCTATTTTCGACTTGGCCAACCTCTTGACACTCATTAGCTCTTCCATATTCCCGCATCGAGAGGTCAAAACCCAAGTCTTATCGCTCGATTGCTACCAACCGATCTATTCTGCGCGCGAATTTCAAAAAAGCGAGAGGAAACAGAAGAAAAGAAGAAAATCGAAAAAAACAAAAGATGACCAATTCGATTCGAAACGAATTTCTTCGTTTCTGGAATCTCGTTAATCTTCCTGAAGAGAGGAATCATCGATCTTGAACAGAAGAATCATTGACTTCATCGAATGCTTTCTTCGGATATTTGAATGATTTCGATTTAATTAATTTCATCCAGGGAGATGTTGCGCGATGAAACTTTATATTTCCACGAGCTGCACAGTTGACACAGTAATCCATATTATCGGAACATTACTGTCAGCTCATCCATTTCTCTCAATTACTAAGGCTTCTTGCGGTCATTTCACCGTACTGTTACTTACTAGTCTTTTCTCCGCTCGTTTCTTTACTTCGTCTACGAGATCAAGACCTTTCACATTGATTCTGTTGATCTGGATATCAATATGATGAGAAAATGAGGAAAATTTAAAGGAACCTATAAAAGAAAATGAGAAATGAAGAAGAAATAAGTGTGCAAGAGAAAAATTGTATGATATATTCATTGATTACCTTTTTCATCAGATCAGATATAAAACTTACGAGAACGTGATCTTGTCGAGATTCAGGAGATAGTTAACAAAAGCGATTGGACTATTCATGGAATGGTTGGCTCGAATACCAACGCGATAATAAATCTGCAACTTTCTCGAAACTGCGATGAAGAAAAAAAGAAATAATTGTGCGAAGAAAATTTGGAAGCGTTGTGTTAAAGTGTTATGAATTAGTGTGAGGATTGATTCTTTCGCTGTTTCGAAAGATCGAACCATGGGCAATGGATCTTCTTGCTGTCCGCATCGTAAGAAGGTGAGTACTTTCCATTGTTCATTTTTTAAACTTTTAACTGAAAAAGAAAATTAATTTTGAATTGTTAATCTCTTAGATTTAATATTCTTCTTATGCATTTATTATAAATTAAATTATATGCTTCTACAATTTTTATATTTATAAATATTTCTATCATTTCTATGCCTGTATCTATAGCTTTTATTCTGTGTAAATATGTGAAAATGTTGAAAAATGAATGGAGAATAATAAGTAGCTTTCTATATTATATAAAAGAGAAATAGTTGTTGAAGGATATATGAGAAAAATATTAAACTTAATTGTAGGTTTTGAATATTTAGTGATATGAGATGATAAAAAGACAGCAGATATTGTAAGTTTGGTGCATGATCATCCTGCAAGATGGCAGCACGCTTCAATTATGATAATATCAAAGACACTAATTTGAATGATGAAAGCTCGATTATTAGTTGAATTTCACTTTGGAATATTTTTAAATTTAAAATTCTGCATCTGAAACACGAATCAAACGTATATCATAAATTGAAATATTCACATTCTATATAAACAGTTAAAATAATTCCGTTCAATCCTTAAATTAATCGAGTCACATAAATTTTCAATACTATAGAAACATAATAGTTAATTATAATATTTAAATTGCAAATAAGATTCGTGAAACATGAAATACTTTTCTACTTCTTTCATCCCCAATACAATATTTTCTAAAATATAAATCCATTTAAGAATATCTACATGCTTCAATTTTATCCACAACAATTTTAACACAGTAACGAAATATTCATTTATTCACACTTTAAAAAAAAAATCCTAATTCTATACAAGTATACGATCAATGGTTACGATTTGATACGTATCGATCCTTTCTCCTTTCGATTTTAATAACACCGAATCAACGAAGGAATCTCCTTCAGTGCAGAACCTGTTGCCAATCAATTGCACAAGCAACACTGAGCGGCATCGTTAGATCCTAACGAGTCGTTGCGAAAAAAAAACGAACTGCTGCGAAGCGACGATATCCACGGGAAAAACAAGTGGACGGGGGTGAAAGGGGGATGCCCGTCAGCTGATAGATATCGGACAGATTCGCAATTGTGCAATTGTGCCACGCGGAACGGGCACGCGGCCTTCGAGTCGAGAATAACTCGAGTCCGAGTTATTTTCTGAAACCAATCTTGCCGCTGATATACGACTGAAAAAACCGATTACGATCGACCGAACAGTCTACTTCCACTGCTTTTACGATTGTCTTCTTTTTTGGATCGATACATGCAACATACATATATTAGATATTATTTTTAGATGGATTAAAACGCGTTCGTTACCGCTATTTAAAAAGAAACACTTTGATTACGTTAATTATAAAAAAAATAAATGTAGTTAGTTAATTCTTGTATTATATAACTAAAATTAATAAACAAAAGATGTGACAACGAACGGGTTAAGTTGAAGAAATTATGGTTGATATTTTCAAGAAGTGAATGAATTAAAATATAGAGAAAAAAGTTGAAATATGAAAGAAGAAATATAAGGATAAAAAGATTTAATTCTTCATATATTAGTAACAAAAATTTTCAACATTGCTGAATTTCTTAGATTTTAGTAACTTTTTTATATTCTTAACTTAACTTGGAATATAATAAATAATCTAAATAATCCAGTTAGATTTGAAAATCTTTTAAAGAGAAAATAATAAACTTTTAATTTTATGTTAGAAAGTATCAAATTATTATTATTAAAGGATTAATCTTCGAGATTTAGATTCATTGAAAAGATTTGCATAATATTTAATAAACTATATATTTCAACTTTTTTATTATAAAAAATAATATAAATTATAAATAAAAAGAAAGTTATAATTTTAGTATTACCTATCTCTTTTTTTACGACGTTAATCATAATTTGTTCATCAATATCGAGTCTCTTCTCTGAATCAGTTACAAATTGCATGCTGTGATCGACCATTTCTTTCCCAAAGGAATACTCCTCAATTAATCGAAAATTATATAGTTTTTTCGATAATTTAATAGACAGATCATTTATAGATTCTACGATCTATAAAATTCTAAGATCAAAAGTAACTTCATTCAATCTGAAAAATAGTTATTTATTACTATGTATTAATAATATTTAAGCTCTTCAAGCTTGGTATTAATCGAATCTATAAATTACGATCTTATCAATAAAATTGTTAATTATGAACTTATCTATCGTAAAGCAACAATCCAAAATTATTATAAGAAAAAGTATAATAAAAAAAACATAAAAAATTAAATTAATGAACAATTTAAAAAATCGTAATTAATTAACAATCGAATATTATTTCTCAGCTTAATTCAGTTTTAATGATCAAAATACTTTTTCTTATATTCACCAAATTTGGACATCATTATAGAAATAAATTCTTCGGAATCATACGTATAATTAATCAGCATAATTAAAATGAAATTTCGTTCAAACTGTCTCGAGGTCACTTACTTATTTACACGAAACGAGTAAATAGATTTTGTATATTTTACTTTTATGGAGAAGCTGAAATTAAAGCTTTAAATAACAGCACTAAATTCTACGAGACTAATTTACTAACTAGTAATTATCCGTATCAAAATACCTAATAATTTCTCAAGTGTTACGAGTTATTAAGATATCGAATTCTTTTCCACAAGGATACAAATTTCATTTCGAAACGATGCCATAGCTTGAAGAAATTATAGTCAATCGATATTTTACTAATTTATCGCCATCGATATATTAAAGATTCGCGTCAACTATCAAGACCAATCATTTTACCTCGTAATTAAAGGTACTGTTCCACTATATCGAAACCTGAGAGCACATCGTAAATTTTCTTTCAAATCTTCGCAAAAACTTTCCATCCCTTATAGCTGATGTTTTTATGACTTGCAAAGAATCGTAAATCATTCCAACTCACATTCTTGGTGCAGCTACTTTCGAACGAAATACATCTTTCTTTTTTTTTTATTTGTCCTTCATTTTATTACACACCTAAATAAAAAAAAGAAAAAAATTAAAAAAAAAAAGATTGCATAAGAATGTTTAGAAATAATAAATTAATTTTATGTATGGAAAAATATAATCCTGATCATGTGTGTAATCGAGTGTATAACTCGCATCATTCATTATATAATTTATAATTATAAAAACAATACAATTATGAATTATATAATTCATCCTCATACCATTTGTAGAAATTATTAAGAAAATTAAGATTCGTTATTAAAAAAAATTGCATTCTGTAGTGATATAAATATTCTATCATTATTATATTATTAAATTAAATTAAATTTCATAGAAGATTAATCTATTGTTCTATAACATCCTATAGATCACTAAAACGATTTCAAGTAAGCTCGTTAACAAATCAAGACGAATAAAATACGCAATATGAATAAAAGAAAAGTGAAAAATTATAGAAGATACGTGTAATGAAAATATCTGATATGGTTTGCAAATTACAACGATTATTTTGGTACGTTTATCAGTCGTGTAACGTGAGATCGGATGAAAAGGACCGACGCGAAAAATGATGGCAATCGTTGTAACGGGCGTAACCCAATTAAGGATGACATGGGTAATTGCGACGTATCAGGTGTTGCAGAAAAGCTGCAAGTACTTGTCACTTTGTTATCTGCTGTCATGAGTGAAAACTTTCTCGTGAATCTTTTGTTAGGCTTCGCAGGTCGATGAACTGACGTCCAGTTTGATCTCGCAACCACGATTTCTTACAATTTATAAGCTTAATTGAAGATTTCGTGACGAAAAAGGACAACGCTATTTCTGACCGACTTTTTACATATAAAAAATCCTTAAGAGGAAGAATGCCTGTTGGTACTTTTATAAAATAAAAACAAGAAAAAAAGAAACTTGAAAAAAGTGATGCACGATAAAGTGAAGAATGAAATTTTTGCGGTCTGAAAAGTATTCACGAGTCGAGGCTGTTAGACGGCAGTGACGTATTTTATGATGCAAAAAGTTATTATTCCGTATGCATTTCATTAGCATTGATTTTAAAATATATTTTTTTTTTGCAGTTTTTTTTTTAACTAGAACTTTGAAATTATAAATTTATTAATTCACTTATTTAAATGCCATTATATTTTAACGAAATCGTTATAACTAATAAAAAAAATTTCAATTACTACGAGAAATAAGATATTAATTTAAATTGTAATACATAATAAATGTATAAGTGAATTAATAATAATTTTTTAATAAAAGTAATAATTAAACAAATGAGCAAAGAAATATTAATAAAAATCGTTAATAAAAATCCACTATCAGTGGATTGATATCTACTTATAACGCAAAACACATAATTTTTACCTTTTTTTAAGAGAAAATAATTATAATTCTATTAACTTGAAAAGAGCATTTAATACTTCGCTCGAGTATTATAATCGTCAATTAATGTTGTCTATCCAGATGTCTATCCTTAGATGAGACTCGATTTTCCAACGAAGGCATTGAATAAATATCAAACATAAATAGGCAATTGTTTTTCTAATCGCGATTTTTCGACCCTGAAAGATACAATCGCGTAAACATAGTAATTATTAGTATATGTGCAATACGCATTATCGATATGAGAATAAAAGTGATCACCTCGAACAAGTAAAGTGATAGGTAGTGAAGTAAGGTCAATTGACTTCGGTACTGAAAGTCAACTGAAAGATCGTTTTCTCACAACGTCATAAAAACGGAAAATCCATTTCGTTCGCCTTCACCTTTTGACACGAGGCATTCATGTTCCTTCAACTTACTGCGTTAAATAAAAAATGGCGATCGAAATATCTTCTCTTCGCTTATCATGCTTCGAGCAACTTGCAATATCCGTCATCATCGCCGATGAATCGTAAGATCTGGAATTTTAATATTCATTTTATTTTCAAGAAAAAAAATCATTATAGATTTATCTATTATAAATTATAGATTTACCTGTGATAAACAAATGAATTTATAGATGGAGTGAATTTTTAGCTGAATTAAAAGGATACCTTTGAGAGAAAAATAAGGATCCGTGAAACGTAACTCTTTTCATTGAAGAAAGGACAGAAAGATTATTAGTGGATATATGAATATCTTTTGATTAATTTAACATTTCGAGTAGATTAATCAAGTCAGTTAATGATTAGGCACTTTCTCTTAAATGGAATACCTTGAAGTTGGTAGAAACACCAACGAGATGTAATTATCGTATTACGAGATTGGAAAAAAATGTCTACAGACGTAGACTGATTGCTAATTTGTGTAACTTATCACGTTCAGTCGATTAATCAAACGTACCATTAGAAAATAATAATTTTCTATTAAAATTGTTCGTACATTTATTATATCGTAACTGGTATTTGACATTTTTGCAATATATATTTTTCAAGATTCTTGTTTTCTGAATCAGGCAAATGTACATTTATTAATTTTTAAAAGATCCGTTATACCTTGATTAAAGTTAATTATATATTATTATTTTCGATAGATTATACCTGTTTATTACATTGATATATAATTTCTAAGTTACTACGTTAATTTCTGCATAATGATTTTTTTTATGATTTTCACTCTTTTTATTATTAATGGCCTATCTTCCTTTTGGAGAAAAGTAGTAGAAAAATTCTAAGAAATGAAACAAATTACCAATCTATATTAAATATTATTAAAATTATAAGTTAACTTCACAATTTTTATCCAGATATACCATAATATCTATTGTCATAGAAATTATTTTCGCCAAAATTAAAAATTCAAAGAGGAGAAAGACTTCTTAAATCCATCCTCAAAGACCAATTTTTAGTTAGATTCGAGTTAAAATTATATTTCTTATCGAGCTTCGTAAAAATATAAATAACCTTATCAAGATCCAATTTCCAAATCGATGCAAACAACTGTACAAATAAAACGACGTCTCGTCGATAAAACTTCTCGATTTGCACCCATATCATCGACGTATCCACGTTCGACGAAACGAGAATTAATCTGCAATTAATCTCAGATTCACGCCAAGATTCGGAGAAATGTTAAGCCACCGTTATCCAGTCCCCAAAAGATGCATTAAGTCTATCACCGATCCGATCTCGAACGAGATAAACGCGTGATTTACAACGCCCGAGTTTGGTCAGATAACGCGTGCACGAGTACAACAACAATATACAGATATAGATTATACATAGAGAGAAAGAGAAAGAGTTGCAAGGTAGATCCAAGTGTCACTGTCGAGATCTCGCGCCTCGATCGCGATCCAGACAGTTGGATCGTGATTAACGAGACTAGGCGTGCTTAAATCGCGATAACTTAGTCGATCGTGATCTCACCAGTCAATACAACGTTCGATACGTGTCCTACGTGGACCACGATACGCTACTACATCTCCCAAACAGAAGTCAGTCTGGCAAATCGCGGCTGAATGCTAATTGCAATCGAGCAGGCTCGTTGTCACGGTCGATTGATTTATCTTGCATCTTCATGAAATTATTCCATATACAATGTTATCATAATAAAAACGTATCTTCTCTCTATAGAACGAAGCAATTTCATAGATGAAACGATGGAATAACTGTACACTGACTTTTTTTTTTTTTTCCTTCCATTTATCAAATGACACACCATTAATCATAATCTATTCATAAGTTATTAGTACGAAAATTGACAAGCGTTAAGCATTGATTAACGTGAAGTTATCGTGGACGAGCAACAGATGATTAGATACCAAGCTGCCGTAGCGACATCAATTTACATTTATATTGCATTGCCTTGTACGATTCTTTATTGCTTCTGCACGAACAATGTGCGTGTATGTCTTTGATTCAGCCTCATCGCTGTTTAATCATGGACGTTTGATCATTCCGTGTCCGTTTCTTTTCCGTTTCTAGCCGACGATCTGGGAAAAGCATCGACAGGAAAGACTAATTTATAGGCATTGGAAGGTATATTCTTCGATCGACATTTTCTTTCTAATAAGCCAACGCGAAGGCAAGAGAGGCGGTTTAGGTCAAGGCGTTCATCGAGCAACATTGTTCTTCTTGTGGCGAAAGTACGCATACGATTATCGTCTATTTATCCCGATGCTCATTTAGAATGATGCATACGCGCGCATACGCTTTACTACCAAGCTGACGATCGTTTGGAATCGTTGGAATCCATTGGAATTCTAAGAACCGATACGCTCTGAGAGTCTAAGAGCGGAGCTCGATAAAATTCTTTTTATTTCGGCATTAAAACGAGTCATTTTTTTTTTTTTTTGTTTTTTTTGAGATCGACGCTCATTTCACGGATCTAACAATCCTGCTGAGAATATGCCTTCCCTATCAAGGAATTTTACCGAAGAATTTCAAGTCGAACGACTTCCTTACTGTCAGAATCACGGTTGACCTTACTACTCGAGGATGATGTTGGAATTACTGGAGAAATCGAGTTTGTGACCGATATAGCCCTTTGCATTCCGTGAGGATAATTGTTCGACTATAATAAGCCGTGTTTTTACGACTGTATAAATCATCTTCCATGTCTGTGCGATATTTCTCGAGGAATCTTTATTTTAGAATCGATGATCGGTCGTTGGATCGAAAATATTCGAAGTAGGAATCGGTGAGAATTATTTTAATCAATCTGAAAAACTGATATTAAATGTCACTCGACAATCGAGGCAATCAGATGGTTCAACTAGATTCAGTTATTCTACTAACGTTCGAAGTACGCAGACTGCTTGGTGATCAATCAAGCTCAGGATTACATATCTAAACGACAATCAGGATTGTAAAGGAGACATTGCATAATGTTTAGTTGTGTGATTCATCTATCGACAGTGAGCAAATTTCATCTTTGATCTGATACGTGTAAACTCGTTTCTTCGAGTTGGACACTTGTGGTATTACAGCTTGTTATCAAGTACCTAGAAGAAACGTTTCAATGTTTGCAAAAATGATTTTCGCAATGTATGCAGTTTCTCAAAATTTAAATCTATTAAGTCTTCCATATTAAATAATGATGTTATGATTCCAAGATCAAAACATAGGTCGTGTATATTCCTAAAACCAAAAATTGTCAGAATTTAGAAAATGTTATTTAATATTTTCGTGAAAATGTAAAATCATATGTATATATGCGAATGTAGAGAAAAGTGTAGTCAAACTAGATACTTATCTGTTACGAGTATCGACTTCAACAAGGTTCAACCGGTTCCAAGAAGAATCGAGTGGCTCAGGATCGAATAAAAGAAAACGATATTGAAAATTGCTTTTAATCTAAGACGCGCAACAAATCGTGAAGGATGATTGAATCGATTACGCGGTATAAAAGAACGAGACAGTCGAGTAACAAGGCAATATGAGTCCTGATATAAATCACCGTCAAACGCATTGATTGTACATATACACAAATCAATTGGGGAGATCTAATTTGTTGAGAAATAAGAACACGGATAAACGTCATGGGAACGAGGTGAATAAAGTCTTTATGCATAAGAAGCTACCATTATCATAGTCAGACAAGCATAAAACCATGAATCTGTCGATGAAGATTGGCCAATATGAAATTAAAGTAATCCATCGTTTTGTCTGGCAACGAGATTCGAAATGGCACTATAAATTGAAATTAAAAATGAAATTCGAAGAAATGGCCGGAAGGTAACGTTGTTGTACATTTTATAGAAATTATTACGACCTTTATAGACCACACACATAGTTTGACCATACTGGAAAATATATAATATAAGTACAATTTTGCTCGAGGCCGTATAGAGATTCGCATAACGATCCGTTAACTCTATCATTATGCCGAGAATGTATAGATGGAATTGTTCGCTCGTTTCCGTGTAAAAGTGGCATCGAAGATGGAATTACAAGACAAGCGTATACATGACGATTTTAAAGAAATATACATAATATTTTTTTACTTAAATTATGAATTTGCGTTCTTCGAACATTTACATCAGTCATCATAGGCCTTTATAAGATTTGTATTATCATTAAAACGTTATTTTGTTTACTGTTAGTATAGCTTCAAACTATCACTAAATTAATGAGCAAATATTAAATAATGTTAGTATTTTAATAAATTTCTTAATTAATTAAAGAAGTTTTTATAAAGTAAGACATTTAACATCATTGATATAACAAAAGTAAAGATTTAAAGAATCATTTCATATAAAATCATATATACTTTTTAATATTTCAAGGATAATATTTTCAATATATATTATACTTCTTTATCCAATTTCTTAATCAAAAAGTTCTTTGAAATATTATTCAAAAAACACATATTTTTAATTGATGTCACATACTATAATATTTTAACACAATTAAAAAAATTCTTTTAATAAACATTAAAACATTAATAAACATAATATTATCTTTGAAAATAATAAATTGTCAATTAATTTATCGACAAGAGAAATAATAAATGTACAAACATCATATTTGATTTGATTATTAATAGTTTCTAACCTCAAAGAATGAAGCTTTTCATAATGAATAATTATACGCTATATTTATATTACAATAATTATGAACATTCAATTAAACTATACCTGCTGATAATATCTTTGACATTAATCATCCACATAAAACCCATATCGGAAGCTGTTCTTGGATGATTGAAAAATTGTCGTCAGGACCATTAAATGTGCGGTAGCTCTGTAAACACGCGGCAAATCCACAGGGAGCCACGTTCGCCATTTCCGATCCAGCGCTTGCTCGGTCAGTTGCATTAAATTTCTGTGCGGTCGACAGAGTTGCTTCTACGAGAGCTGCAGAAAAATACTGTATGAAGCCTCGGTATTTCCTGTACACTCCTTGGTGTATGCTAATGCAGGGCCAATACACGTTCAGCTGCATTGTATGTGTATCGCCGTGTTAACTACGTGATCGCGTGGGCGTACGCAACGTAACAGAATACAACCGTCGATCAGTGTTTCTAACGAAAATAAAGCCATTCGCGTGCCGGCTACGATCGTAAACTCTAGCAGCGTCTTCGCGGATATTAATGCCTGGTTTCTAGGAAAGAATCGCTAACGACCGACATGTCCCCGTGTAACTGTGATTCGATATGAATCAAGCAAGGCAGAAATATGATAATGGCGGACACGATATTACACGCTAGTCGCATAAAATGTCCGCAGGCTTCTATGGCGCCATAACGGTCGCAGTTTTTCGACGGATAAGGAGTAGGAATAATCGTTAATCCGTGAAGCTTTGAAGATATTTTTCGCAATTATTAATAATTCTCGATGATATATCGAAGAAACTGGTATGAAAAAATAGAATTATTAAGATGTTTTTCTCCTTACCTGTTTATTTCTTGTAAAATTCGAACAGAAACAAATAAAGACCGATTCGTTTCGTAATTTACTTGCGCGGCACGTACGTTTAAAAATGGTGCTACCAGATGGCGATTGCGTCGCCAACATGAACGTTCGTGAAACGTGAATTTCCTCAGTCCTACGTTTAAAAACATCATAGTCGAGGTCATTGTACGGAATAATGTATCTCAAACTCACAAGTAATTTGAATCTCCATGGAAATCTAATATGGAGGAATTCTTTTTCTATCACGAAGCAACGGAATTCTAAAGTCTTTTTGCGTCTTATTTCACGACTCTTAACAAATTTAGTGAATCATCCGTCGCCATGCCGGATTTGGTATTGGTTCGCATAATATTTTATCCTAGTATCACCCTACTTGTCATCTATAGTGAGATTTGAAACGAAAAGTAAACGTGGGCGCGGGGATTTGAAATCGCGTTCGAGACGCTTCGAGAGATCGAGAAGTCGAGTGTAGACAGTACGACAACGTGTGGCGCAGCCGCGGAAACTTTCGTTGATCGTCTCGTGAGTCGAGTGTCTATTAGCAGTTATCGTCGTACATTTACGAGGACGAGCGCGATAATTACGATCTTATTAACGAACGAAATCACTCGCCGTAGAAAGTATATAATAAGCTTAATGAACTACTTCAAAGTGACAGGAGTGAACGTTAACAGCTGTTTGTGCGTGCACAATTTCTATCAAGATACCTACGTTCTTTGTTTGTGACGACATATTTCTCGCATACCGTTTTACAAATATTCGATAGTGGAATAAAGAATTCACGTGGGTGAATCGTAATGAACGTCGCGATTCGACCAAGTAACCTTTCAAATATGATGTAACTTCCTCGCAGTGAAAGACTTGATCACTTGTAATCTGTATCAGGCGCGCGCGCTCTATGATTTCTGGCGGGACAACTTTTCAAAGCGTGTCGCGTAAAAACTATTCGATTATTCGTATGACAAGCATACAAACGAGACACGTAGCGTTGTTATTACGGATGCACGCAATGTACTCGTTAACCTGTGAATATTTGTGAATAGAAACAGTTATTTGCCAGAGTTTTTTCCATAAAATTTACTCTACGATTCACCATGAATCTGGTGATGAGTTAAGTATAAACTAGAAAAGTGAGGTTAAGTGGAAAATGCGGACTGCGGCGCCACCACGAGGTATCAAACAACTTCGTCGAACCACAGGACACAATGCTTCCGTGGATTACAGAAATCGAATGGTATGTTAATTTTAACGATATTTTTATATATATTTATATTAATTTTCTATCATAGTATAATAATTACGAGGAGAACTATTTATTTAAAATTATTATATTTTAATATTCAGTGCATAGATCACTAATACAATATTCATGTGCTATTATTTCATTTTTTATAAATTTCCTAAATTGAAATTGCTATCTATCAAATAGCATACTCTATGTCGAAAAAAATCAAACATAAAAATAAAAATGTTGAAAATATCTGAATATTAAATTATCGCCTTTAACAATAGAAATTATTTGTTGTTAGAAGTTTTTTATAATTAATCCATTTGTTAATATTACTAAAAGTAAAAGTAATTAACTTGATATAAATAATATGATCATTATTAAAATTTTGAAATATCCTTAATTTTTATTTTTCGATTAAATATTTCAACAATTCTCATCATATATTTTTCGTAATTTCATTTTATCACTAGAGATTCGCCATATGCTGGAATCATGCGGATTCCATGCTGATTTTCCATTCGAGCACACAGGAAAATGTTTCCTTTACGGGGTTCGGAAAGTATTGAAACCGGTTTCATTCCGTATATGCTTAAATCCAGTTTCCTTTCACCTTTACTCAAGAACTATCGGTGTCGTTCGCCGTATCGCGGCTTATCAGGGCGTTTCGCGTTTATTGGCCAGGGATAAGGCGCGTTCCTCGTTTCATTTCAGTCGCATAATCGAACTTTCGTGTGGTCTTTATCAAGATCGCGACTCCATTAACGAAACATGCGTATATATTATTCTTCAGCATATTAATTTTAGAATTCGGATCGTCAATTAACCGTGTCTGAGCGCAAGTCCATGTTTCGAAAGCATAATCTCATTAATTTTATTTATATCCGTTAGCACAAAGTTTTCGATCAACTCGATGATATTATCACAGCACGAACATATCAAGTTTCGTTCACGCTTTGCTTTTCAATGACTTGCTGTTTAATGACGGGCTTCTTCACGAATCGATGTCCAAGAAATATGCATAGTGACATTTCTTTCGTTGGCAGTTCGATAATTTTTTATAAGTTGGTTTACCTTGTTTTGCAAAACTCTCGAAGGCTATTTTTTCTTCTTCTTTTTTTAGAGAGATAATTGTCTTATTAATGTGTCTTCGATAAATGGTCGAGCAGCAAGAGAGAATTCAATGTAATCGAAAGCAATTATATTCTATTCGTTTCCTGGAATGTTTTCATTTCATTGTTAATATCGTAACATATAGAGACTCGTGTAATAGATTATAAAAGATGTTATATAGAATATTAAATGGCAGGTATGTTAGATATATTTAAAAGTCTGTATCTTGTTAAACGATATTTGATATTTAGTAATATCTATTTTGTGCCATATATGCAAAGTTTCTTGCGAAATATCCTTTAACGCTTTCTCCAATACTCTCTTAATATTCCAATCTCTTATTTCTCTTTAATATTTTAAAGCGTTTTTGACTTTCTTTAATTTTTGTTAATTTTAATATACTTTCAACTATATTAAAATATTAAAACTCATAACTATATTAAAATTCAAAAGAGAAAAATAAATAGATGGAGACTTGAAAAGCATTTCAAAGTTAAAGTGATTAAAAGTGATTTTTATGATTATTATATAATATCTGACTAGATCCGAAGTAAACTCAAGACTTTGTGCATTAAATACTATTTGTAGAAACATAACTGATCTTGAAATGTTCTTGACGCCTCCACTCCTTGACTCCTACTTGATATTTTAATATCCTTTATAGTCTCCTTTAGTCATCAAAAAATCCATTATTCAAAATCCTATTTCAGAAATTTCTTATTTAGAATATAATATATTGCACATTTTGCATTTTTCAATTTTGTAATGATGGAAATTTTGCTAATTATCGATTAAATTACATTATAACGTTATAGTATATCTATGACTTAATCAATAAAAAATAATTCTACGAACTTCGAGCGAGAAATTGTCATAATCGCATACAAAGTAACAAATCAATACACGTATGTTAAATAATTATATCTCGATGAAACAGCAATCTGTTGATTCTAAATCGTCGATATTATGCAAATCGAATTAGCCGCCGGCCATATCATAAAAACGGTCTATAATTTAATTTAATACATTTTCCGTCGACATGGTCCACCTACGTTTCGGAATAACAGCCTTGACCCATCGATTCGAGATCAAATCGAACCGTACAACATTTCTTTCACTGGATTAAAACATTAAAAAAAGTCAATCAAATCTGTGATAAAGATTTCCCTACTCTCGTTTCTATTTTTGCTATTAAAAATTACAATGGAAATCCAATTCCTGCAAGTAAAAACATACAACGTTCATTAATCATAATTAAAAGGAAAACCTCGTACGTACGACAATAACATCCGCTGACAAGAACCATCAACATGGCGCCGAGATTTTCTACACGGCACGCAGTTGAGTAATACCTCCGTCCGTCCCATCGATGATGCGCGTTGAATCGAAGTGCACGTGCACCTTGTACGTCGCACACTCGAACGAATCGAGCGGAATGATCGACTCGACGTGGATCGATCGTTCGATGCGATCACGAAACGTTCGAAAATCGCGGGAACGGACACAATCGATCGATCGCCCCGATCGATCGATCGCATCGCCTCGAACGATCGAGTTCTTCGTGCATCCGCCCACGCATGCACCAGTCGCAGCCTTGGCCGACTGACGAGGCCGCGACTTCGTGTTTTTATTTCCCCTCGGCTTCGCGTTCCTTTTTTTTTCTTTCCACTTCGAAACTATAAAAGATGTCCGCCGTGGCGGGCGCACGCGTGCACACGCGACGCCACATTGAATTATTTATAAGGATCGAGGCTGGACACTCTCGATGGATGCCTTCTCGACAGGGTTACCGCATAATATCCGCGCATTAAACTCTAATAATAGAATTCTCCTATTTCCCGATGGCGGCTTTTCGATCGCCACCATGCGACTGAGGCGCGCATGCGCAATACCTCGAATGCGCCCACATTCCATCGGTTTTCATTAATTCCTTTTTTTATTCGCGAGGGAACTTTGCCGATTTCACGCTGATGGAATCTTCCTCTGCGATACAATCTTTCGGTAATAATTTATCTTGGTGATTTTGTGAATCTTGGCTGCAGTTGTGAATCAATATGCTTGTCGTATAGTATGTGCCGAGGTATTATTATTATACGACGATGTCAAGAAGTGAGATTGTTCGCAGATATTGGCATATTTTTCCAGGCGTGACTAGAGGTCCTCAATTCATTATTATTCATCGGTTTCTGAGAAGTTTTAAGATCTGTTTTAAGAGGAATATGTACAGAATGCATGATATATGATATTCAAAAAGATTAGACATTGTAACATTCTCGAACTTCTTTAATCTTCTTACAATCTTTTCCATTGCTCATCATTCGGCGCCGGTAATCTCGGCAAGTTAAGTTAATCTCCTGACTTCAGATTTCCACATCGCGTTT